CTCTCGTAGTAATATTGAACTCCCTCCCATGGATGGTTGGATGGCATAGCAGTAGGAGAGATAGAACGTAAAATGTCCTTAAATTCTTCCCAGCCTTCATTGAAAGTCAACGTGATAAATAGTTGAGGAAGTCCATGGCTAGCAATCATCGAGTTTACGAGACGTTCCTTTTCAAGAAAGTAAGCTTCCCCGGTTCGGATTGAGCCAGGTATAGCATGTGTGAGAGTTTCACTAATAATAGAATGTGTCCCGTAATTTGACTGCTGTAGTAGTTGATACTGAGGAAGACGGTTATCTATAGCTTGCCTCGTCTTATTATGCATAAGGCGATTGGTATTCTGAAAGATCCTTGTAGCTTCCATTTCTTGGTATGCCCAGGCAGCCCAGTAATAATCGTCTCTGAAAGCGCGATTGTAAGAATTGAGCTTCTTTTTAGTGTCCATGTGGCGAGTGTATGTAGAGCGCCCATCTTCGCGGCGCTCTCCTTGTACGAATTGCCCTTTCCCGTAAGGATAAAGGTGCGGAAAGCAGAGTACCTCGACATCTGGATCCGTTCTAAGTAGCATCGGTTTTGGACGATGCCCCTCTGGGACCTGGACAGCCCCAACGGAGAGCCTGTTATACCGGAAATCTTCATTCCTCGTTTCTTGGTCATACTGAAATGGGTTCATGACAATATCCGGGCGGGTTTGGGGTCGACGCTCATCGCTGTTCTCAGGGAGGTCGGCAGTTGGTAACGGATGGTCGATTTGTAGATGCGCCCGCACATCATTCCTTTGGAAGACGGGGTTTCTTTGCAGCAGCCAATTGCGAACATGAATTAGATGCTCAAGATTCTGGTGTTGGTCTACTCGATGTGGGCTGCTCTGCAGATAAGCCCCAAGTGTGCCAGAATAGAGCATGTTCGCTCGCTCGTTAATCGGATTCGTGTTAATAACACCAGATAAAGTTCGGTACACATAAGGGATCGTGTGTAAGTTGTACCCTGAAGTCCTTCCTAGATTCGTATCCAACTTGAAAGGGGATATGAACAGTGTCGATCGCCGTGGGAGAGAAGCAATGCACTGAGGGACCTGTCCGCAGTCTATAGGCGCCCGGGGCTCTTTGCAACAGTCCTCGCAGAGAATCACGCCACCAGGTTCGTCAGCCACAGGAACATTGAACACTCTGGTGATGCCGTATTCATGGTTGTCCTGGAATGCTCTCTGTTGACGCTTCCTCGGGAGCAGCAAGGTTGCGCACTCGGCACATGGTGTATCAGGGAACTCCTTGTTCCAGCGGTCCTTAAATCTTTTCCTCATAACTCGAAATCGCACATCGGCCTCTGCAAATCTCGCGCCTACCCGACGTCTTCGAGGCCTCACTAACGGAAATTCGGCATCCTCATTGCTGCTATATCGGCGGCGACGACGATAGCGACGTCTTGCAGTATTAACAATAATAGTATCATCGTCTCTGGCAATATGGTCTCTGGTAGCATCGTGTGGGGGAAACCGGCTGCGCTGGTTGATCTGTGTGTTGATGGAAAAAGTTTCTAACAGTACATGACTATTGTCGTTAAAAAAAGATTGAACAGGGATCCGTATCATGCGCAATCGGTCTTGCTGGTCGTCGGCGGCGGCATTATAGCTGTAAAACCGTTGCTGTCGAACTCCAGACATTATAAAGCACAGACGGGCTGTGCGTTGCTGCACGTTCTACGCACTGGGCAGTGAGCAGGCGACGAGGCGTAAAGGCAGAGTCTAAAGACAATTAGAATCAGTGCAGTTTCAAACTATATAAACAGCCAAAACAAAGAATGCCTCCTATTCCTCAAGCTCATCTTCAGTCAGCATCTCCTTTGCTTTCTGGCTCGGCTTCCGACTGCGCTTAGAAGAAGGCTCGTGGGAGGGTTCAGTTGCCTGGCGCTTGCTCTGGAAAGCACTTGGTGTCAAAGCGCTTACAGCAGAATGAGCATTTTGAGCCTCAGGCTCGCTGCCGAGAACCTTAAAATCAACAATTCTATTTTCCCTGCTGACATCGCCCGTAACGATAGAGGATGTGGAACTGGCCCTTCTGGGAGTAAACGTGTCAGATACAGTATGAGGCGTTGAAGCGGAACTCCCACTGTGCAAGAGAAGGCGCGAGTTAGGCGGAGTCATGGGAGCAGGCGCTACGCTGATGTTTGCTTGCTTTCCAGGTGATATCTTAAGCGGTACATTTCTGCGACGAGATGAACCCCCCTTAGCAGGAGAACCTGTCTTGTTTACCGGGTCTTTGCTGGCCCAGTTAAAGGAAACGGCGAGCAAGTCAATATATCCCGGTTGTTGAGTCTCCTCATCGGGGAAGGTGTAAAAGCCATCGATAAAAAGCCTACTTTGGGCGCGCAGGTTTTCATTACCAAGGGCACGGTCGAATTTAGGGGATTGTTCTGCGTAAATATATTGAGTCTTAGTTCGGGTTTGGGAAGCTTTGAAGGCTCTGTCGTTGCGTAAGGATTGAGGGGCGGGATCGCCATAGTATCCAGTAATCTTTGCTTCGAATTCGAACGTACGCGTAGCGTCAACGAATCGCGGTGTGCACGTCAGCTCTGCTGCCGCATTGATACGTAACTGATGGATGGGCAGGTGGTCTATTAATAAAGGAATAGCATCAAAGGCAGTAAACTGTGTAATGATCAGCAGGGAACCTGCGGAAGGTGAAAATCCTTGTGGCATCAAAGGACGGTATCAGACGAGAGCGTAGAGAATACTTGCCTTAGGAGCCTCTGCCTGGTCATTTCCGGGAAGCCGAGCCTGACCGCGTATCATGTATGCTCTCCCAGATTCCAAAAGATCGCCGTAGAATGCTATATAAAAGCTCCTCCAATCTCCTGTTGTGGCATCATTGCTGCCTTCCTGGAACTCACACAGGGCATTGCGATATGCGGAGTCCGGGATTCTATCTACCTCGGCTACCCGGGCGATAATAGTGAACCATGTAGACATAATGAGGGAATGAGGGAAGGCAACGGGCTGGGATGAAATACCAAATGGTTTGCAAGGTGGACCTCGTAGGTGTTACTTTGCTGAGTTGGGAAACAGAGGACATGTCAAAATGTTGAGTATATCGAGGGAAAAAGTGAATGGGGCAGGGGGTCCGTAATAAACATCGCTATTATACAGTTTGAGGTAGAAAGAATGGTTCAGATTGATTCCAAATTGTTCCTAGCCCACCAACTAAAAGAGGAGATTCAGAAACCCTGAGATCTTCCGAGGAACTGCTGAGTCACTGCTGAAGGAGAGATGGATGATATGGTTTGACTGAAGCAAGCTTTATTTACCATGGAGGCCCTTAACTTAAAGGGGGACAAAAAGCAAGTAATTCAAGCACAAGGTGTTTCGTTACCTGGCCGAAAACGATCGAATGGTCAATGCGACTAGTATTTTCGCATAATGACTGACGGCGATCTTACAGAAGATGAGGGGCTCTTTGTTTCAAACCTCCGGGGAAAAGTATGAAAGCGATGGGGGGAAGTGACGTCTGTTACGCAGCCTGTGTATCCTCAGGCATCGAATTTTGGTTGTCAATGAGGTAATACTGAACACTCGATTATTAGAGCCTTGCGAGGGAAATCACGAGGTAATGGGAAAATCGAAGGAGAAAAAAGTTCATATGGCGGCGAGGCAAAAAAATGTCCCGTAGTATGGAGGGTATGTTTGAGGGTAAACCACTGAAACCGACGACTTTCAGGCTATGGGGACCACAGGGGGAGGAAAACAATTCCCATTCATCTTATTCTTCTCATTCTGCTCTGTATACTATATACACTATACTATACTATACTATACTATACTATACTGTACTATACTGTGCTAGGTATAATATAGTATAGTATAGTATATAGTATTAGTGTGAGGGATGTGAGGGGATCATGTGACCTGCCTGTTTAATGAATGTCTCACTTTGTGAACATTGTGTAAAAAGCTTCAGCCAGAGTTCCTTTTAGGGGTTCTCTTTTTCTCCTTGTGAATAATCGCTTTATCCAAGTCGCACTCGACCTTGTTCGTGCCTTGTACCGTCACAATTAGTATATTATATAGAGTATATATATTCTTAGTCGTCCCCGGAATGCCCCGGAAGTGATCAAACTAAGGCCCAAAATGGATGTTTTTTCCTAATATGGAATGGGTTGACACTTAGCGAGAGGCACCTAGATTTATCATAGTTATAAAGGCGGTCACCAATTTTTCACCACCAAGTTGGCGACCCGCTACGGCAGCCTATAGAGGTCAC